GGGGACACACGCTCCACCCTGCCCGGGCCAGGCTAGGCTGAGGCACGGGGCGAGGGGGGGGGCGGAATCGGCTGCCGGTGCCGCGGTGGTGAGCGCGGGGCTGTAAACGCAGTCCCCAGGAATGTTTTACGTTCCCTCATAGGCATGTGTCCTCCTTCTAGTTTGGCCAGTAAGGGAATGCTATTGTCAGGGTTGGAGGAACGTACTAATTATGATTAAGCTTTAATTGGAAGCAGTATTTCTGTTGTTATGCTTAAGTGCAGTGTGCGGCGTTGTATTTACATAACAAGTATCCTGTGGATCTGTTCTTCCCTTCGCATGTAGCTGCTCAAAGCTCTTCACTGTGACAGCTGTGTTTTGTTGTATTTGAGAAGAAATACGCAGGCATAGGGCTTACTTACCAAGGCAGAAACGTGTTTAGCTTTAATGTTGGTTAGTGAAAACTTACTTTCGGGGCGTTCGTGGGACTTTATATTTCAGTTTCAACCTTTCTGGGTAATTTCATATTCCGTGTGGAGCTGGCCTTAATAGCACTTCAGCCTTACAAAGTGGAGCATATGCTTGGCGCAAGTGTTGGGAGTCAGGGGAACGCAAATACTCGTGAATAGGTGCAGGAGGAAATGAAGAGCGAATGCCAGGGCTTAGGTCACTTAGCATTACAAATATCTTACCGCAGAGCAAGTCTGATACTTTAATTGCTATGATTTTATACATAAAACACCAATTTCCCTTTGAAAACTAGGGGTCGGTATTGTTTCTTGGAGGCAATGAAGTGAAAAGCAGTGCTGTGGTGAAATACTCCTCTGCCCCCCCGCAAGCAGCGTTTGCCCGTCTGCAGGAGAAAACTGATTTGAAGCTTCCACCTGCCAACTGGTTGCGTGAAAGCGCTAAGCTGGGACCAGCAGGGACAACCATTCTTGGCAACAGCAAAAAAAGTAAACCATTTTCAAGGTAAATAACAGGAGGCTGTGTTTTTTTGGGCCTTTAAGAATAATTTTAACAGTAATCTGGATGCTGTGTAACTCAAAGTGTGAAGTACAGGCTTTACCATAGCAACTAGGTTTTGCTTCTTCTTAACCATTCTCATTCTGCTTTTAATCCTTTTTACCTATATGGTATAATCCTGTCGTCTTTGTAAATGATTAATGATGCTGGTAAGGCTGATGATTACTATTTTTTTCTAATTGCACGTTGACACCTTGCCTGAGACAAACTGATTTCACATTCTTTACTGGTTGGCTGTTGTCAGCTGGCCAAAATCAAACTAGACTGGCTCAGCCAGCTATTCTGCTTTTGATAAAAGGTGAAATTGGAACAAAAGTGGTTCCCCTTGAGAGTTACAGAGCCAATTTATAGCTCTTACAGATCTTTAGAAACTGGACCTAACTAATGGTAAAAGAAGTTTTTGGTCATGTCAAGAGCGAACAGAGAAGATGAAATAAAGGGCAAAACCAAAAGCAGTGTTAACTTCCAGTATGGATGTTAAATATTTGGATGAGTTGAGTTCAGAGTGTTTATAAATAGGAGGCTTAAATCCTGTGCTGAACAAGCAAATTGACACTAACTCAACTAGGTAATGAAATTTCACAGTTTGTGGAGGGTCTGTGTTTAAATCCTCATAATCTTTTCTAGGAGATGTAAATTTTTGAGCAGAGTAACATGTTTCTCAGGGCTTCATGAATATTTCCTGTTTATTTTAGATATTTTTTTGTTAAATAGAGACTGATAATCTCTCTGTCTCTGGTATCAGTATTACAAAGATAATAGCAAAAGTATAATTTTGGACACTTGGACATCATATATTTGGATTATAGCCATATCTGTTTTAATTTTAAAGAATGGTCTGTATGTTGAAATACTGTGATCTAAATAACTTGTAATTTAGAGAGGCCTTAGTGAGGGTGGATGAAGATACAAGGATGTGTCTGTTACATGTAGGCCAGTTGTAGAAAACATAAGAGGTAAAATGAAATGACTGCTGCTAAAATGAAAGTATTCAATATGCTTAATGCCTTAAAGAGAAACTTTGAAAAACTGTTCTTGTATTTAGTGTTAAAAAAAAATTCAAACTCGGTTTCTCTAATTTCTTATAGCTGTCTTAAAAACCACTTTCAATAGTTCTGATTTTCTTGTTTTCAGCAAAATTTAAACTACCTTTTAGAATGTTTTGAAATTGGGTCTAAACACTTCCAAAAATATCTCTGAAAAACTTCTAGAATGTAAATATGAAATGATTTTGTTCATTAACTTTAGATCTCATTACACCTGGTAACGTTTAGTTAGACTATTTTTTTCTTCTTTTTGATGAAGAAAAAATTTTCAAAGCTTTAGTAAGCTTAAAAAAACAGGTCTCTAATGTCACACTGCATCTATCTTGTAATATTTTCTAAATAGCTTTGGGATGGCGTATGACTTCATTGACTCAGTTGGAAATGATGTCGATGTTGTGTCTGATTCAGAGGTATGTATATTTAAGTTATATCATTCAAACTCTTATGTTGTATAAACCTTATTCTGAGATGGCTTCTGTCATCTTTGTGTCCTTTGAAGAAAAGATCCCCTAGTGAAACACAAACAGGTGACCTAACTTTTGCTCTGTCATTTAAAGGAGTTTTGATCACTGAATAAGAAATGTAGAGGTGAAGTAATATTTCCTATGAATTTCTACAAATACTTTTCAGCTAAAACCTGTGGTTTAGTGAATGCAACACATCAGTCTTGCGATGTGGTTGTCTTGTGTGTTTGAACTTAGGTTTTTTTGATGTAAATTATTACTCAAAATTATTTTTTTCTATTCTTATCTAGAAGAGGTAGCTTCCCTCCAACCTTCTTCCTCCCTCTGATTTTTGCCAGCTTTTTTTGGTGCTGTTAATATCTGTAGCATTCGGATGAGGCTGTTCAGAAGAGGGAGCGTGCATGCTCATCTAGTGTCTTAGTGTTGATGTTTGGCAGATTTTTATTCAGACTTAGATCTTTGTCCAGATTCCTCTGGATATCTGACAAAGTGTTGGTATTCCTGTGGTGAAGAGAAAGCTTTTAAAATCCAAACTATTCACTTGCATGGGTTTTTTTGTCACTTTTCATGATACCTGGTTGTGATGACCTAAAGGGAGATCATGTTTAAACCATGTATGTAGTTTATACCAACTACTTGGTCTCTTTATCCCTGTTGCTCATGTTCTCTGACCTCAACAAATGCCACTTCTTGTGGAATGACCTTAAAATCACTGGCACAGGAAGGTTTTAGTCACCTGCCAATGCCTCTTCAACTTTAGTAGTGTATTCTTTGCTTAGTTTCCTAATTGTATTGAATATTATGTTTGTTTTCTTTTCTCCTGCAAGAATATTAAAAAACTTCTGAAGATACCTTATAGCAAGTCACATGTGAGCATGGCAGTACATCGCATTGGGCGGACGCTCTTGTTGGATGAGCTGGATATTCAAGAACTCTTCATGAGATCATCTCAGGTTAGCCATTTGGGTTTTGTTGAGTGTGTTATATAGTCAACTTGCATTATTTTAAGAATAGTGTAGTCCCAAGAAAGCATATATGTATCAAAATTCCTGAGAACCACTTTTGAGTAAAAATGTTTGTGTGAAGCATATGCTGCTATTCTGCAGCATTTGGCTCACCCACAAACTGCAGCTGATGTTTATTATTATTTATCATACTATTAAGTTCCATTTTCAATAAATGACCAATCCAAGACTTTAGCTGTGAAGTTATTTTTAGGGTTTCTTTTGTTGTTGTGGAAGAGTATTCAGAACTTAATAAGGCACTTGATTTACATCCCAGTGCTTCTCAATACTAATTTCATATTTATGATATTGCCTAGACAGGGGACTGGACATGGCTGAAAGAGTTTTACCAAAGGCTCATTGATCAAAAGTGGCAACGAAAAAAGAAGAGTAAAGAACATTGGTACCAGAAGGCTATACTTTCAAAATTTTTGTATTATAGGTAATGTTATGTCTGCATGAATCTTAAATTCTGTACCCATTGCTTTTGCCTGATTTCTTGTCTTGCAGTAAATGTTAAAATTGCACTGCAATCTGTCTTGCTGATTTATACAGAAGAAATGGAGGGATGAGATCGGGAAATAACATGTAAATATTTTAAATGGGAATGGTAGTATTAAAGTATAAAACTGTGTCACCTGATTAACTGCATATCTCAATATTCCTTCTGAGAACTGAGTTTGAGGGAAGAACAGCTTACAGTGTGCAAGGTAGACTGACACCTGTTAATATTGTAAGAATTTGGAGCAACTTGCCACTATAGCGATCTTTTTGCTGATTGTCAGAGTCATTGCTTGAGAACAGAGCATCAAATATAACAATTCTAAAATAGATTCTGTTTGCATATTGTCATATGAAATTTTTAACATTGCTTTGTCAGCATTAATGGTGATGGAGCTGCTCAGCCTGTTCCTTCCACTTCAAAACAGCACCAGGAGGGTCCCGTTTCAGGTGAGAGTGATGAAGCAGGAAGGGCCTCCTGGCCAGCTCCTTTTGAAATGCCTTCTTCGTTATCTGAAGACCCAGGTGCTTCTAATCAGGTTAGTGCATACAGTGTTTTTAATGGCACCTTAGTTTTTGTTGAGACAGGTGTATTGAAACCTTTTCAGAGGTGCTGCTGCAGTATTCATTGCTGAGAGAAATGAACTCGGGCATTAGAAGGGCTTGGCAGTAAGTGCAGTTTAGCTTATGCTGGTGTTTCAGAGCTCAAAATTTCAGATTTTTTTTTACTGTCATTGTAATAGTAAATACATGTTTATCTATGCATTTTTGAGGAACAAAACATTTGGTTAGGAGTAGTCATCAATGGCTTTACCTAAAAATAGAAAAATGTGATATTCAGAAGGTATGTATAGAAGCTTAAGGTTTTGGCCTTTCTTTTTAAATCTGTCATTAAAATGATTCTGGTGTGGCCCTGAATTTATTAGGGGACACATATATAGGAATTATGCAACAAAATATGATTATTATTAGACCCCAGTGCAGGGTTTCAGTTGGCAGCTAATCTTATTTATGAAAACTGTTAATTCCTGTGGTTTTTTAATAATTGATTTAATTTTTGAGAGGTTGAACAATCAGTCTACATTAATATAATAACGTTTCTATAGTTACATTTAGTATTACCAGTGGGTATGCCAGGTGACTTGGTCAGCTAACTTATGAAGGCTCTAAATTACATTAGTCATGAAATTGTAACTGCACGTGCTGTGGTGTAGTAATATTCTAAAGTGAAGTATTTCTAAAGAAATATTTCAGTACTTGAAAGCTTTCAGAAAAAGGGCAACTTCCACCTTCTTCAGGAACTGTTGCCTAATACAGCAGACTGCTTATCATAAAGAAGCTGTTGTGTGTTTTTTACGGTGTCTTTAATTTATAAATTAAAGACCTCAGGATAGAGGTTTTACTTTTGGAGACTGATAATCTGGTGCTGACCAACCAGAATAAAGAATTTCTGTAAAATAATAAAAGAATTTCTGTTAAAACTTTGATTCCTTTCCAAAGGAATATAAAGGAATATAAAGTACAAAATTTTCGTACTAGCTATAGAAAAGGAGCATTCTAGTCACTGACTAGAGACATTTTGTAGTTCAATACATATTTATTTGAAGATGTTAGGGGTAAAGGTTTTTCCCTGGTATGCTTTTGTTACTCAAATTATTTTTTTTTTAATGGCCTAACTTTACCTCAGCAGGAGAATCACTCCTTATCCTTGTGCTTTTCACAGGGAAGTGTGCCTCTTGAACCCTCATATATAGTGGGGCATGTGGCCTCAGCCCCCAAAGAACAAAACCTGACTACTTTGTTCAATGACGGGGAAAACAGTCAGGTATGCTATATGTGAAATTTGAGCTCAAACACTGAACCCCCAATTTAATCAAACGTTTAAAAATTTGGTCTAAATTGGAACTAAGAAAAACTAAGTCCCCTGTAGAAGTAGCTTTTGTGGCATCTGTGATCTCAGTCTTTTTAAGTTAATGTGAATGTGTAGCATAGTTCATTGTGTGCTGTCTTTTATTTGCTGCTTCTGCTTCTTGCTTTCTCATAATTCCACAGAATGTCATAGACAACAAGTTCTATATTAGTGATTTATAGACTGTTTTTTTTTTCTCTTAATGAAGGGACTTAAAAATGACTTTGTTCGTAATATCTTGTGGACCTTTGAAGATATCCACATGTTAGTAGGATCAAACATGCCTATATTTGGAGGTGGAAGATACCCTGCTGTGAGCTTGCGTCTCAGGTGAGTTTTGAAGTTAATGAGAGGTATGTGCTAGCCTTGACTAACATTTGCTTTGCTTCCTATTTAGCTCTCTGCATTTTGTTTGGTTAACTCTTTTTTTTACGTGCAGTTTAAAGAATAAAATTCATGCTTTCAACTTAAATGTTGATGGCATTGTAAGGTGTGGGAAAACAGAAGCAGTCCCAATGCTGTGCCACTGCACTGGGACTTGTGGTGCTCTGCTGATTTTTCTGGCTCTCTCACTAAATCTTTATTTGCTTTCCTGACTTCAGCGTGAATGAGTGTTAAAACATCTCTATACATCTAGTCCTTACGTTCACTGTATTGCTTCTTTTATAAAAGAAGGCAATAATATTTCTCCTACTGGGATTCTGAATTTCAGTACTAGTTGGGCTTAAGTACTTAAAACTTGTGTCTATGGTAGTTTTAAGTTCAGACTGTTACTGTTCACTAATACTTTACATAGATCAACTTGATTCCCAGTCTTTGTGTTCCTGCTTATGCATAGGCAGAGAATGAGCAAAAACTTGAAACTTGTTTGATGTATTTGTCACCCTTTTAAGAGACACCTAGGAATTAACAGTACCTTGCTTTGCAAGGAATTGTCTGGGAGAAGGCTTGTGCTATAATTAGTTGCAGCTAATACTGCTTTTCCTTTAGAAGTTCTTAAGTACTTATTATCTTGGTAATTGCGTGATATCTGAAACTTGTTGAAGTTTCAGTATAAGTGTAGGCAGAAATTCAAAATTGCTCAGTGTACTCCATTGGAGAGATCAGTACATCTGTTTTGTTTGATATAACATTGTTTGCCTCTTTGTAATGGTTATTTTTATAGTATGTATTGTTTTAATACCCATCCAATCTTGGGTGACTTAAACCTAAATCCTATTAGTAAACATCCCTCAGTTTTTCTGTAGAGTAAATAAAGGCTTAAATAACACTAGAAATATCTGTCTTTAGGGATAACAACAAGCCAATAAATGTGCTAACAGGAATTGACTATTGGTTGGACAACTTAATATGCAATGTACCAGAGCTTGTGATGTGCTTTCATGTTAATGGAATTGTTCAGGTAAGTCTGGCTCTTTGCATTATGCCTGGTTAATCCATTCTTCAGTTTCTCAAGTTGCTCCAGGTCTGGTTTTACTGTTCTGACAAAAAGATTACAAAAATCCTTTATTGCAGAATGAGAAGCATCTACTCAGCTTGCAAGAGTCATCCAAAAATAGGGTTGTGAGGTTTTTTTTTTTCCTCCCTTCCATTCATGCAAGATTAGTTCTTCCCCTGTTGTATGAGGGAAAGCAAAAATAAAAAATGTAGCGGCAGATACATCAGTTTCTTGCATCTTAAAATCTGTAGTGTTCATTTGCCAAGATAGATGGCATACTTTTTAAACTTCTTTTTCAACCATGCATACCAGCTGAGTTGTACCTGCTAGCATATAGTTACTAGGCTAACTAGGTTTCATTGAAGGAGTAGGTAGACGTTGCACCTTCACCATTTCTTTGTCACCTTTTTTTCTCCATTGACCATGTTTATCACAGAAGTGAATCCTCTTTAAAGCTTTTATTGAGTAATGTAATCAAGATGTGCTTGCTTTTAAAGAAAATCATAGAAGTTAACTCGGTTTCATAACACTGTTTCATAATAGTAGCCTTTGTTTCTTTTAGCAGTTGATAGAGACACTGATTTATAGATTTTTGGGGGGTAGGTGGCAGAAAAACCTCCTAATCTTGAGTTTTAACATACATTCCTTACAGAAATATGAAATGATCAAGACTGAAGATATTCCCAATTTGGAAAACTCTAATTTTTCTACCAAAGTGATAAAAGATATTGCTCAAAATATCTTATCTTTTCTGAAGTCAAATTGCACCAAAGAAGGACATACTTACTGGTTATTTAAGGGTAAGTAGACTTAGATCCAGTTGGAAAGATTTATGTTAATGTCATGTTGATTAATGGAAGGTCTTATCTTTCAGCAAGTGGGAGTGATATAGTAAAGCTCTATGACCTAACCACCCTTTGTGAAGAGACAGAAGACAAATACCAAAACCCTTTCACAATGCCAGTGGCAATTCTTCTATACAAGTGAGTTTTTTAATAATTTTGTTGTAAAAATTAGTTCTTAGTATGGTTCTGTTAAGAATACAGACTAAAAATTATGATGAAGTGAAAATGCATGAAACAAAAGTCTTTTTTAAATGTAAGCTTGGTAAGCCTCTGTCCCATTAAATCAAAACAAACTTTCTCCTTTTCACTATTTCTCCCTGTAAACTCTTGCTGAATAAGTCTTATAGACTCACCATAAAGTTTGGGAGATCTACATATTGTTTAAAGCTTTTTTATTTCTTCTAGCATAAAAAAATTTTCCAGGGATTTACTGTTTTGTTCAACTTTCTTTTAGAGTTGCTTGCAATATGATGCTGAAGAAAAACCAGAACAAGAAGCACTATGGCACTATCAGAACATTGCTCCTTAATTGTCTTAAATTATTGGACAATGGCAGACATCCTCAAGTAAGAATGACATGTTTTCTTGTAGCTTTGTGTAAATATAATAGAAATGCTGTGTTTGTAATATACCTGGTAATATTTTGTGTGGTATTTCCTCTTCCCTTTGCATGGGAGAGGATTTAAATTTATTTATAAACTTAGAAATTGATTTATGTTTAAAGAAGCCATGGGCTTTTTATTTTTTTTTTTTTTGGTAAGTTAGTAGCCTTTGCTTACCCTCATTGCTGCACGAGTCTTCTGTCCTGTTCTAAAAAGGAACTTGTCATTACATTTGCTCTTTTGTTCTCATTCCCAAAGACCCCTTTTGGAACTGTACAGACACTGAAGCAGACCTTAGCTCGACATTGTAAAATGTGAATATAAGAACGTTTTTACTCTAAAGGTGGTTGAATGCTGGGACAGGTCAACCAGAGAGGTTATAGAGTCTCCATCTTTTGAGATACTCCAAGGTTGTAAGGACACTGTCTTGAGCAACATGCTTTGAGCACGGGAGTTGGGTCAGGCAGTCTCCAGGGTTTCCCTCCAAGCTCAGCTGTTCCCTGGTGGGTGGGAGAGTCAGAAAACAGAACCTCAAACTCTTGGTCTCTTCATTAGTCCGTTGTATTAACCATTGGTACATTGAGATGCTCTGCACTTCCAGAAGCCGTAAGACATGAAAAGGAGATGAAGCTGTATTGACCTCCTTTGTTCTAGATACCTCATTCTCTTCTGAGAAAAACAGGAATCCAATTTCTCTGAAAGATAAGTAGTTTATTAAAGATTAGGGACGTAAAGAAGGTCTGTATGTCTTAAACTTAAGTATTTCTGCTACCAGATGCACTAGTTTCCCTTACAGCTGCAGAAGATAATGGAGGTGCTGCATTCTCATTGGGATTTTGACCAAGTCTATTCACAATCTCTTCATTGTCTTAAATTGAGAAATCTGTAGGTTCAGAATGGTGTAAGGGAGTATCAGTTTGTTGAACTAAAGAAGTAAACTGGGATACTGCAGGAGGCTTGATAGTTGATTGGGCAGGAGCTGCTTTATGCAGGCTATGGTACACTGAGGTGGTAGCTTTGCATTTTTACTGTTTACAGGCAATATATTCAAAATTTCAAAATGAAGTATCTATCCTGAAGCTGAAATCTAATCCAAAATATAGCTTAATTTACGTGAAAGTGGTGTACATTTAAGCTGTTTTCAACTGAAAATTGATCCTCAAAATGTGTGAAAAATCAGAATTGTATTTAAAATGGATTACAGCATGTGACATGGCATATATTAACTAAATTAGAAGGAATCTACAAAATACTTATTGAAGTTGTAGAAAGCTCTCAAAATCCTACTTAGTAGCTCTTAAAAATTTATATTTTTTGGTTGCATAAGATCCTTACCTTGTTTGCCTCTTGTGATCCACAAGCTTTTAGGGCAGGTAATACTTGTTCTTTACGAGTTGGTTTTTATTCTCTTCTAAACTTGATTGGGCTTGAATCCTTTTCCCTTTCTTATATGGGATTTTTTTTACTCCATAAATAACTTTAGTAGGGCAGGAGAGAGTGTTTTTTTGAGCTGGTTAATTGAATTCATACCCCTGCACAGTGGTGGCCTCCTTTGCCTTCTCAGCAGTTGTATATTGGTTCAGAAAACTGCCTGGTAGAATAACTAGTTTTCTGGGGTTTTTTTGTAACACCTCTGCAAAGAGCCCTCGAAAAATAAAGTGTAAGATGTTGTTTGGTTGGCAGTTCAGCCAAATGTCTAATACCCAAAGGTTCGTGTTCTGATGGAAAGTTACTTAATATAGCGTACATGGTATAGCAGCTCCCGGGGAGAACTTCTGTCTCAGTTCTCTCTGTATGAAATTGCTGGACTTCTGTGGTCTGGTCTCACTAAACTCCTGCAGAACCAGGAGCCAGAACGTGCCTTTTATTACCAGAACCAGGAACTGTAACTACCTGTGCTGTCCTAAATAGAAGGCTTCAGTGGCATTAAACGTAATATCTTTTTCAAACAGTCAGAAGTGGAGAGGATGTTGGGAAGTGGAAGAAAGGAATGTGGGCACAATTTTTTTGTTACTTTTTTTTTTTTATTCCCCCCACTGCCCAGCTACCCTATTGCTGTGTTTTTTAGAAATTATTCTTGACACTGTTTTACATTCAGAATGTTCAGGAAGTGCAAGAGTTGGTATCCCCAAGGTGAATTTCAGAGGAGTTAACTGCAAGTCCTTCACTCAACTGTCACTCAGCATTTGGGGGGAAAAAAGGCATCTTGAAAGCAAGAGATTTCACTGTAAAAATGTGTTTTAGAATATATGCCCTGTCATAATCACTTTGTGCATGAAGCATTAATGCAGGTCTTTTGGCAGCCAGATCCTTCTTAAGTGCCTAAATCCAAAAGTTCAAGCCTGAAAGCTATTACTAAGTGTTTGCATAATCCTGGAGCTACACAGGAGTCGGTAATTTAAGGTGGGGCCTAAGCACTTGATATAAAACTGTTCATTCCAATTCAGGGACCAGGTGCCCAAAACCAGGTCACTTCAAGGCATGTATGGGTGTTGTATGCTTGTTTTGGTTTGTTGGTTGCTTGTTTTTTTTTAACTGGATCCAATCTAAATTTTTAGCAAACTTGACTCATCTCTTAGTGTCAAGATTCCTCATGGTAGGAGTGAGAGAGCTGTCTGAGCGAGAGTTCAGTCTTCAAGTAAACTTGAGGTAGAAAGAAAAGGGCTTAACGTTTATTGTAAGGATTATTATTATATTGTTCTTACTGGCTTAATTGTTAGTGTTTTATAGTTCCAAAATAACCTTTTTCTCTAAGCACTTCTGCTCTTTGAGGGGGAAAAAGCGTGTGCCTGTAGGCTGTATATATATTTCTCATTTCGTTGTCTTAGTACGATGATGGACCAGGTTGGCTTCCAGGTGTTCATGTTGCTTCTGAGTGCAAGGAGGGGAGGTTATGGAGTGATATGCACAGGACTGCATAGTGCAGTTAGGCAAGAGATGAGGCTGAAAAATCTTGCCTCAAGGCTTCTTATTTCTGTATAAAACCACACTGAAACAGAGGGCAGTGCAGTTTGGTTTAGGGTATCACCAGTCTGTGTTGTATTTTTCCCGACTTACTCTATAGTTTTATTTCCTTTCTCGCTATAAAAAGCAAGCTACAGTTACCTCTACAAGTATATGCTGTTTGTGCCCTCATGTCTGGTTTGACCTCTTGAGTTTCAATTGGAATCTAATTTGGGTTGTCAGGTTTGGGGTGGTTTTTTTTTTGTCTTCAAGAAATTGAAATTTCTGCTCTAAATTTTTAGTGCTGTGGATGTTTCTGCTGCTACCAGATAGCTTTTAAATGCATGTATCTAATATCTCCTCAGTCATCGATGCATTTTGAAACTCCAGCAGTTTCTAGTATTAAAGTACTTAAAGGAATAAACGGAAGAAGCAGGAAGGAATAAAGTGCAGACTCCTGAATGCTTTAGCCTTACCAGTACAGAGCTTTCATTACTTCCTCATTTTTCTCCAATGTGACAGCAGTCCAGAGAAAAGAAATGGTAAATATCTCCTTATCATCAACTAAGAAGATAGCTGCTGTTTTTTTTTTTTTCTTATGGAAGATTTTTACCTTTCTTGCCTGAATTAGAACAAAAGTAGAGAAGGTAAAACCTTATCTGGAAGGAGCAGAGCTGCAATTTGAGAGAATCTGTAAAACTTAAAAGATGTGAATAAACAGGGAGTTTTTTCGGGTGGCACTCAAAAGAAGTAAATAGGGAGATCAAGAGCTTCCCTTATTTTTCTTTTAAAGGAAAAAAAACAAAGCTGTTTTAGACCTGGGTGGCCTGTATTTTCAATTTTACTTTTACACCCTCACTTGTAAAACAGGAGACTCAGCCCTTATAAGGTGGGTTGTGCAACCAAGTGTGGGCAAGCTTGATTGCAGGGCTACATGCACACACACGGGTAGGTGACAACGTGTCTGCAGTGACTAGTTTCTTAAATATTGTTAAAAATTCAGTGCTTGAGCATATGGTCATACTGCGTGTGTGTACGGGTTGTATTTACACGTTATCAAATACATACTTGCATGTACTCGTTACTCCTTATTCTAAGAAAAATTATATTGATTTTGCCTCTCAGAAGAAAAAATTAACTTGAAAATAAATCATTATTTTTTTTCTCTTATTTAAAAAGATTATTGCTTCAGCAAACTACATGTTATCAGAGCTTTTTCAGTTGGATGAACCTAAAAAAGACGACAGTACGGACTTCCCTATCAATGGAAATTCTGATGAAAGTTATAGCGAGGAAGAGGAGGAAATGCCAGACAGTGATGAAAATGGTTCTTACAGTAACAGTTCTGATCCACCAGATGACAATAAAGCAGTGGCTATAATCAAATCTGTTGGAGAGTTATCAGTACCAGAAAAATACAAGTCTGTTCATCGAATACGTGTAAGTGAAGTTTTGGATTTTTTTAAGGGTTTTCTTGAAAGATTCAGTTAATGTAGCAAGGTTTGTTACTGAAATTGAGTTTCCTGTTAGTTTTGTCTTCAGGTTAACTGAAGCATGAGGCAGTGGGGAAGGAAACTTCTCATTAGCTGCTCATAAAAGTTAAGATTGCAAAATTTTACAGTATAGCAGGTTTAGTGTAGATTTTTTCCCCTGCCATCTTTCACATGTCCTTTGTGACATGAATCTGCATAGCTGGCCAGAGAAAAATATTCCTGTTACTGCAGCAAAGAAAATATTGCCAACTGTGGCCATTGTAAGAGCTGTAGGTGACCACAAGTTTCTGTGGATACCTCTGTTATTTAGTAATTTTTTCTGGAGCAATATTAATGTATATTTGTTTTTCTGGGAACATCAGCAACATCATGTCTGTGGTCTTTGGTTTCCCTCTTTGATTTGTCTTTGAGGTAATTGGTCAGAATACAGCAACTTGATTTCCTTGAAAGTTTGGTTATAGTTAATTTTGAAAAAGAGATGAAGCTTTACTCTGCACATGTGTGTATGTTGTGTCTAAGGGGACAGCTGGTGTGTAACTTTAGTATTCCTGAAACTTCCTTGACATACATGTGCTTCATAAACAAATCAGCAGAAGTGCAATGCTACGACCTTAACACCACATTCTGTGCATTATTATTGAAACAAAACAGAGGAATATGAGAAACTGTGAAGATCAGTGAAGAAACTGTTCATAGCATTTTACTTTTCTGATATTTTTGCTTGTCTTGCTTATATAGGGATGTGATTGTGAAATGAGTCTTATTGACCAAAACCTAGACTTTTTTTCTAATGTTTGTGCTGAGTAGCAAAGAACAAGATTTAAAAAAAAAATTTGTAACTCTTATTACTTGTCTTAATTTCTAACACTTCAAGATCCATCAGCTGAAAATGGAACAACTTCTACAGGTGCAGAAGCATGCAGTTTCCCCTTTCTTCTTCTTCTACTCTACTCCAGAAGAAAACTATATAGCCCTACCTGACAAAAAAAACCCCAAATAGTCAGACCCCCCAAAACCAAGGCACTGAGGTGTTCAAAGGAGATGAAAATGCAGCTTTGATTTATAGGCTGAGGAAATTATTTCAGTGTAGTATTAAATCTCCTCTTCCTGAGTCTGCTTTGAGGACCATCTGTGAATGCTTTTGTAATGACTGTTATGGAAGAGAGTCATCTCATCTCTCCTCCCCTTTGCATTGTCTTTTGGGATTACCAGGTGAGACCAAGTGTAGGTGACTGGGTATATGAATTGCTCACTGAGAGAGGGAAGGAAATACTGTGACACTTTATAATGTAGCATTCAGATGTTCCATCAACAGGTTTTCTCAGTGCTATCTCTCATTTGTGTTTTCCAGCCAGTAATTTTGACATTTCATATGTTTAATGTTTATTCTCTTCTTATTCCTTCCCTGCTGCCTCCTCACTGAAGCCAAGTTGTGCCTTTCCTGTCTGCCATGGCACTGAGGAGCGCTGCAGGCTAGTGCTCAACTATGTCCTGGAGGTAAGTTTACCATCAGCTTTCTAAGGATGTTTGACCTAGTGCCCAATTACATATCCTGTATTTGCTAAATATAGCTTTCAAGGTGACTTAAATGATTTCTTCTTCTTGCAGGGCTTGAAGTCTGTTGACAGCAGTGTTAAAAAAGAGGGTGACCTTCCTGCAGCTGACCCCAGCACTCCAATCCCATTGAAATATGAAGATGAATCCACCAGTGGTGGTCCTGAGTGTCTGGAAAAACAGATAGCATTGTTTTTAGACAAAAGTAAGTTGTATTGTTGTGCAGATAAGGCTTTTTCAGTGCCAACGCAAACCGCTGCTACTTTATTTTGATTATCAAAATGGTGTACTGAAGTCACTAATTACACTATTGTATAAGCAGAAGTAGTATACTGAGAATTAGAGAACGGTCTGTTCTTTTTTAAATATGAAAGGAATAGCCCATTTGGCATATTTGGCATATTTTGCATATCAAAGCATCTTTTATTAGCAAACACATAATTTTGCTGCACCCTGTTTCGTTGTGGCTTGCATATGACTTCCATAAGGGCCTAGTATTTTGGGGTTTGGTGTGTGGAGCACTGTAAGTTGTGTGGCTTGTTTTTAAATCAGTCTTCATTCTTTTTTTCTTTTTGTGACTTGGAAGTTTTGTGAAAGAATTTTTTACCTCTGACAGGTTTTTCTCCAATGCTATTCTTGCTGCTGAATTGCATATAAAATGTTAACTAGGATGTTGGTTTTGTTCTTGCACCTCTACAGTTGTGGAAGGAAGCAGCAAATAAAGAATGTTTTCTTTCCTTAAATACTGAAATTTCTGAAGTTTCAGGCTATAGTCTATTTTATTTTTCTCTGGAGTTCATAAAAGCGTATAGGAAAGACTCTTCTGAAAGTAGCAGAGTTCTCTGCAGGGTGAGAAGCCATATAAATTTCTTTCTGGATTATGCTTAAGTCTTGCATACTTTTACAATTCTTTTTCTTTTTCTTCCCTTCCCCCTTTGAAAATCTCTAAAGAATAAGCAAGTTCAGTTTTGAGTCATTCATTTAAGTGTTCTCATGTTTCTCTTGCAATTTTGTGATTGTCTCTTGAATGTCAGTGACCCAGAGATGGACGCATGCTTTGCTTAGTTTTTATCAGGTATGTGACTGCAGGATTTAACACCTCCATCAGAAAGTTCCATTGTGTTGAACTCTCCAGAGTCCTGTTAATCTAATTTTTACCAAGATCTACTAATTTTTACCAAGATCTACTGAAAAATTGTACCTAGGTCATCTCAGCAGGAACAGTGTGCTTGTTTTGTCTCTCCTGCAGCTAGGCTCTTGTCTTCTGCCTTCACAACTTGGAACCGATGACACATTGCAGCTGCTTGCCAGCTGGCAAAGTGAATGTCTGAATGTTAACTTTCTCTGTTTAGAAACAAACGTTTCTAGGGGAATGTGGGAGATAAATATTGCACAGATCAGGAAAATAAATTTTCAGTTGATTTCTGGAGCTGTGCTTGAGTGCCTTGAAGTAGCAATGGTGCTACTTGTTCAGGTTCTAAGGATTGAGTTCAACCAAATGTAAGGGAGAAACTTTTGTTTCTCCAGTATGTGGGTTGGTTTGTTTTCTGTGATGCAAGTTATGTAGTTTCTCTGCTAGGTGTGTATATTTACATACATACAGAAAGGGTAAGGGTTAATTCTTGAAGATAACTACTTCTGAATAGTGTATGTTAGTTCTGTGTCCTTGACTGCATGAGGTGTTAGTGTATTAAGTTTCTTTGTCCTAACGTAAGCATGTAGTTCTTCTAGAACTTCTTGCAGATAGTGGGCTGCAAGTCAGGCCTTGTAGGTCCGTCTGTAAGCAGGAAACTCGCTTCTGTGTGCACATATTGTCAGGACAAACTTCTGTTCTTTGATATGCCTTAAGTCAGTAGCTTGTTCTTGCTGGTTCTGTAAACACTATGGCATTGAAGGAGGAACCTTCATAAACTTATTCTGAGGAGGTCTTGATAGGAGTGTGTGAAAGATGTTGTTTTTTCCTTGTGGGAAGTACCAGGTTATCCACTTCCTTCTGTGCTGGAGGCTAAACCCACAAATGGAGGTTTTCTCTCTTTGAGACTATTCATACAGAAACAGAGCCCATCTCCTAAGGATTTGGTGGAGAATGTGACAAATTATGCCTGTGGCTTTCCTGTTCTTTTCTACTGCTACCTAATGGAATAGTCTTGGCCACTGCACCTCTATCTCCAAAGCTGTTTCAAGTCTGAGCAGTTAGCTGTGGTGTTACTGTGCTCACCGTATTCAAGCATTCCACTATCAGGTGGAGTACGTGGAAAAGTTTCAAGTATTTGGTCCATTTTTCAGATGAAAAATGTAGTGGCAGACAAGTTGGCGTAACTCTGCTTGTACAGAGCTGTAAGAAGGCAATTTCCATTCTGTCTGCATGCTGATGAAGTTGTGTCCAACCTCTGGCATATGTTGCAGAGATGAGATTTACTGATGAGGTTCTGTTCATGTTACAGTGGGCTCGTTTCAGAAGGGTAAGCATTCCAGTCAGTCAGGAATGATTCCTGGATCGTGGCAATATAAAATGAAACTTCAGCTCATTCTGAAATCGTCAAAGGCTTATTATGTGCTATCTGATGCTGCTATGGTTCTGCAGAAATACGGGAGAGCATTACGATACATCAAGCTGGCTTTACAGTGCCATGGTAAGTTGCTAAATGTATTTGTCATCTGTGCCATCGCCTGTATATATATCTTTCATGATATCAAATACTTCTCTTGTGCATGATTTATCCCAGTGGCATGCAGTGACAAGTCTGACAACTGCATGTTCACTTAAACTGAGTGTCTAGCTCATTACTCAGGAGGGAAGACTGTAGTAACAATAACTCCTGTCTCTGGGAGAAAGGTGCTCCCAGTTTGACAGATTGGGAAACTTAGAGCGTAGATTTGGAGCTTCAGAGCATTAAAGTTGGGAGAGTCAGACCTGGTGCCAAGACCAAGATAGAGTTCTGTGGTCTAAGTGCTGTCACTCCAAGCAGATGTTTTTTCCCCTGGAAATGCCTGGTGGTTGCCATTTCATTTAAATATATTCCTGACTCTCAGAAATACAAAACTTGTTCATCAGCTGAGTTGGATGCTCTTCTAAAATTAAATACATGTTCAAGTATTACCAAGGAAAATGGAGGAAGTAAAAATCAGGCTGTTTAGAATATTACTACCATAATGAAAATTAATTGGAAAATGCCATTAGCCCAGTACTGTAGTGCTGCTGTTTTGCTTCCTTATTTGTAGGTCTTGGGGCAGGAGGAGGCATTAATATGCTTATCAATAACTCAGAGCTTTCATTCTTCAGCTTTCAGTCTTTTAAAGACTTGAGAATCGAGTTTAAACTGTACCTTTTGGAAAATAATTTTTCAAGCTATGTCTCATTTGAGTTCATCTGTAGCAAGTCAGTTTTCCTTTAGTCAAACCTGAGATTTGCATTTGTAATGTCCAAGGTGAGCTGTGAATCTGATAAACATAGTCGCTCTTTTGAAACTGTCAGCTGTGTAGAGCAACTCTGACTTTAAAATAAGTTAGTTCTAAGAAGAACGTGTGTTGTCTGCATATAGAGAATACGTATGACAGGTAATGTGAAAACCAGTTACAGTTGTCAGTCTGTGTCAAACCTTTTGACGTTTAATTCTTTTCTTTCCTCCTCCCTCATCCATGGGATTTTTTTTCTAATAGATACCTACTGTTGTCTCTGCGCCAGCATGCTTCCTGAAGTATTAGTATTTCTTTGTCAGTGTTTAACACTTTGTGGAGATATCCAATTAATGCTTGCTCAGAATGCAAACAACAGAGCAGCATATCTGGAAGAATATAATTACCAGACAAAAGAAGATCAGGAAATATTACACAGTCTTCATAGAGAATCCAGGTGCCAAGGTATGATACTGATACAAGATAACTGCCATAATTCAGTTATATGACGAACAGAAGTAAATTCATGTGCTTTCTCAAAACTGTGCACTAGTAACAGTTCTAGAGGAGAGTTTATTATGCTTCAGTTCTGTTTTCTTCAGAGATAGCTTATCATGCCTGTCATACATAAAGAGGTCAAGATACTGTATGACATGCCTGAAACGGTAAAATAACTAAAGACAGTAATTGTTTAAGTAATGGTAAATTTTAAGTATCTGTAGAAGTTGTGGGATTGTTCTGACATGGGTTTTCATCTTTCTGGGCTTTCTAGACTATCGCAGATTTACATTTGTTTGGAAATGCTGTTTGACATTCAGGTTTTGCATTTTGTCTTTTAGTGTTTGCCTGGGCTACAGACTTGTCTACGGACTTGGAATGCCAACTTTCCATCAGCTGTAAATGTTATGAAGCGGCTTATGAAATTTTACTTTTCAGTAATTTAAAAAATCAAAATCCAGAGCAGCATATACAGGTGTTAAAGAGGATGGGCAATATCAGGAACGAGATTGGAGTGTTTTACATGAACCAGGCTGCTGCAGTGCAGACTGAGAGAGTGGGCAAGTATTCTTTTTTTCCACTTCCTGTATCTCACAGATCTACAACAGTGATCATCCTCACTAGTAGTGTGAGGAAATCATGAGTATTTCTGATTATAAAGACATTTAAAGAACTTTTACAAAAAAAGTATTTACTGAATTGATGTTACATAACTTTAATGTCCATTGTAAATATTTGTCTACAGTAGATTACTGTGGCTTGTCCACTGTACTTAATTGAGACTAAACTGGATAGTGGAATCTATAGCTTTGGAGATATTCTTTTAAAGTGTGTAGAATGCCCTCAAAAAATGGCAAACTTAACCCTGTTACAGAAGGGAGGGTGTGTTCCATTCTTGATGTGTTTGGTTTAGCCGAGTGTGACCAAGCATAAGCTTAATTTAAACATAAGAATAGTTTCAGTGAAGTCAGTCTATGAATTTTTTTGGTAAGTAAATCCTTGGAGGCTTTGCTTTTGCTTTTTTGGGTGTTTTATTGTTTTGGGGTTTTTTGTTTGTGTTTGCTTTGGGGAAATTGAGTTTTCCTAAGCTTCCTTATAAGGTGAGGTGTTTGGGTGTTTTGAGGTTTTTTAAAGTGAAATCAGTAATGTCTTGTCTACAACTAAGAGTTGTATAAACTAGAACAAATTAGGTGCTGGTGGTTCATTATAAACAGCTCGTTTCCCAAATACCAGCTGTTTTCAGTGATCTTTGTCCAGTTAATATGGATTTTGGTTTGGACCTTTGGTTTTGTAATTTTACACAATCTCCATGTTTTTGGAGAACTACTATGTAGCTGAAGTCAAAGCTCAAATACTGAATTTCACTAAAACGTCCCCTTTTACTAGTTTCATACTGTGAGTTTATAGAAATAGCTGCAATACTGTGGATAAAAAAATAATCTGTTATCTTTTTGATAGTATGTGTAGTAGTGCACTTTAGGTATTATGATGTTCACAAGTTTGAGGTTTTCCTAAGAGTATTTTCCATTAATTTGGTCTTCAGAATAATTTAACACCTGCAAATTCTAAACAACATAATGGAAATGTTTTTTCAGTATCTTTCAAGAATTTGAATGAGATGGTAAGCCTTGTGTCTTAACCCTAGTGAGTAAAAATGTATCGACGACAGAGCAGCAACTCTGGAAGAAAAGCTTCTCTTGCTTTGAAGAAGGGATTCAGAATTTTGAGTCAATTGATGATGCAACCAACGCTGCTCTTCTGCTCTGCAACACGGGCAGACTGATGCGAATTTGTGCTCAAGCACACTGTGCAACTGAAGGTGACTTCAAAAGAGAGTTTTCCCCAGAAGAGGCCCTTTATTATAATAAGGTAACATCATACTATTGTTGGAATGGCCCATACCCTAATGTGTCTTTTACCATATAATATTTGTAAGTATCTTTGTAAATAACTGCACGTCTTGATGTAATAACTTGGGATACTTCTCCTGCTTTCATATTATCCTAATCCTTCCTGTTCAGGCTTAAGTTTTGTTGAGGTTTAATTCCTTTGCTCTGATACATAAAGTGCTGTGATGTTCAGATCTTGATATTTTAACGGACTGTAGTACCACACACACAAGGGAGGTCAAAGTGCTTGGTTAAAGTTACAACCCAATCAGATGTGAGGGAAATACTGAAGATCACTCAGATTATTTTTGAATGCTTCCTTTGACAATAAGTAAAGGGAAATTAATTTCTAGTTGCTATAAACTTAAGGAGTAACCTTGTATGTGTATTGTTTTATAACCTGTAGGCTATTGACTACTATCTGAAGGCATTAAGATCCCTAGGGAAGAGAGATGTGCATCCGGCTGTTTGGGATTCTGTGAACTGGGAGCTGTCTACTACGTATTTCACTATGGCAACGCTACAGCAGGATTATGCTCCACTCTCTAGAAAGGCTCAGGAACAGGTAACAAAGAGCATTTGTGACACCATCTGGTAGAATAAGCTATTGCTTCCCTGAAAAAACTAAACAGTGAGGAAAACATACTGGAATAACTTTTAACCCTTCGTGAGATTGAAAAAGTTCACTTGAAGTAGTTCTTGCAAACCATGAAATGTTTAGTCACTTGCATTTTTAAGGTTTTGCTTGATGGAAAGGTAGTGCTGCAAATAGTTTTAATCCCTACATGTGCACATAGTGGTGTTCTAGTTTCAAAGTAATCACACCACATCTTTTTGTTTTATTTTGTAGATAGAGAAGGAAGTGAGTGAAGCCATGATGAAGTCCTTGAAATACTGTGATGTTGATACAGTGTCTGCACGACAGCCTCTCTGCCAGTATCGGGCTGCAACCATCCACCACAGGCTTGCTTCCATGTACCACAGTTGCCTGAGAAACCAGGTATTAGTACAAACTTGTGTTTTTCTGTAGAGCTTCCACGCTTAACACGTCTAGTGTGTGTGGAGATTGGTTAAATAATTTAAATATATTCCAACTACAGGTAGAATAAATATCAAAGAAATGTGAGGTGGTTTACTTGCAAATCACGGTGAAAGACAATGTTACTTTTAAGAGCAGTCTGTCCTTTCTGGCTTTAAAGTTCTGTCTATGCCAAGTAGGTCCATGATCTCATAACAGAAGCCATTGCTAATAAATAGTTTCTTTGGTTTGGTTTTGTGTCCAATCCACTCTTCTGACACTTAAGCACACAGCCTTCTGCTAGAACGTTAGCATATGATTTATTAAAGCTGACTTGCATGTCGCTTTCAGATTTATTGTTTTCCAATTATTATTCTTTATAGTTAACTTAGTTCCAGTTGGTGTGAAGTTGTTTGTATTGGCTGTGAAATGACAGTAGCTTCAGTGATGGCAGGCTGGTGATGTGTTTTAGAAACGTGCAGATGTTTAGATGAACTGTTCTGAAATGAGCTGGGGAACGATTGTTGGTACCTTGTGTACCAACACACACAGTTTTTTTTCTCCAGTGATTACCTCACTGCCTGTGACTTACTGTGTGCCCTACCTTGAGTGCAGGTTGGTGACGAGCATTTGAGGAAGCAACACCGTGTACTCGCTGATCTACATTACAGTAAAGCAGTACGACTCTTCCAGCTCTTGAAGGATGCACCCTGCGAGTTCCTTCGTGTGCAGCTGGAAAGAGTGGCATTTGCAGAATTTCAGATGGCGAGTAAGTCTGGCTCTGTCTTACTACAACAGCTTTCCAAACTACCATTTACCTATTTAATTTAATTTTTAGATAACTTTGTATACAAGAGCAGGAGTAATCTGCTCTCAGGATCGAATTTTCTTCAAGACACACGTATTTTTATCTTGCTGGTTTTCAGTTGGTGGGGACAGTACACACTTTACTTGTAAAAACTCTTGAAATGTTTGGATGGAAATAAAACTGCAATCTATAACCAGCCATTTATGTCCTTTTTTTTTTTTTTTTTAGGTCAGAACAGCAGTGCTGGTAAATTAAAGACTTTGTTTGGGGCCCTAGATATAATGGTGAAGACCAAGAGTGCGTTCCAGCTCATCAGAAAGGAGCTTGTGGTAGAAAGTGAACAGGTAAATGGAAGTCAAGTGGTTTGATAATCTGCTCCCTTGTGTCTCATGTTCACGTAAAACTGGTCATTTGGCAATTAAGATAAACATTTCAGTAGAACTAGTTGCTTAAATAGTGTGGACAGGGTTTGAACCTATTGTAGTTCACTTCTAGCCTTTAGCAAAAGTGGATAAAAAAAATAATTACTATAGGACAAACCTTTGACCCAGAGATGGATTAACACATGTTTGTGTGTGGATGCATACTGACCAGCTGTCTGAGTGAATGGGGCTCTGTAATTCATATTATCCCTTAAAAGTTTTCTTAAAGAACTTAAAAATATATGTACAATATAAATGGGAGTTCTCTCTATGTAGTGTTTTTAATATTGAAATATTAAAATGTGGAAGTTTTTCAGTAGCTAGTGTTAATAGTGTTCTTGATGCCTAAATAAATAAATACTTGCAATACGTGCTGACACGTGTTCATCCCTTGCTGGCAGTTTGAGTGATAGATTGAGTAGGCAAGTCCATATTTTCCTGATGTTTTTATAACTAAATACTCCGGTATATATATACACCGTAGACAGCTGGTGTAACTTGTGTACGCTGTAGGTCTGAGCTCACTGCTGAAGCCTCATAAAGAGGGTGTGCTGGTACCCTCCTGTAAAGAGTTAGGCTGACCTGCAAGTGCTTGTCTGACTTAACTGAAGCATGCTGAAATGGTGGAGTTGAGTGAAGTGGCTTTTATTTTGTTCTCATCTTGTAGATAAGCAAGGATAAAAGTAGTGCTGAGAATACATCACCTAACGATCCCTCTGCTGGTCTTAACAAAGAAGAAGTATTGAAACTGCTTAGTATTTTTGAGTCCAGAATGTCATTCCTTCTCCTCCAATCCATTAAATTGTTAACGTCAACCAAAAAAAAAATTGGGTAAGTTGAACCTGGATCTATGTGTGTGTAGATGTGATTCTCATCCATAAATCCATTCAATCTACGTACTCCTAAGCATGCAAGAAAGGGTGATGTCTGTTCTGTTATGGAGGTGACTCTTCTGTATGGAGAAGGAGCCGAGATACGCCTTGGCTGTCAAAATTTTGCACGTTTTCTGTGGGTTTTGTGCGTAAGTGAAGAAATAACCAAGAAACATCCTTACTGAGTGTATCTAGGTAGCTTTTTCCTCTCCTGTTTCCTGATGGCAATCCAGTACTGAGTGAGGAGAAGAAAGTCAGACTGGAATGGCTGTATTTAAGTAGGAAAAGAGTAGTTTGTAATAATCATCTGATTCAGAATGCACGAGTACAGTTACGAATCACTGATGCTTTATCATGCTCTGTGATATCTAACTTACCTTTTAGAGGATATAAATTCTGTGTGCTTCATAGCTATAAATTCGCACACAAAACAGCTTAACTTGTACTGCCATAAATTTGCTGGCATACTTTTTTTTTTTTTTTAAATTTAAATCAGACTGGTCAGGGAATGAGGTACATGTATGTGGCGTCCTTTGTCTTTACCAACATCAGTCTTCATCTGTGATAGAGCCCTGGAAAGCAGGGGAGAAACTACTGTGTACTGCTGGGCTTTTGATGTATCTTGATAAAATATATTGGTGACAGCATAGTTTAATAAGAAAAATACTTCAGGATAAATGTAGGCACATCAGTAATGCTGTAAATAGAGAGGGATGTATATGGGGAAGATACTGGCTTTAAAGAATTTTCTAATGCCTAATGGAGTGCAGTGAAAACGTAATCTCATCTTGCTGCTGGGATTCAGAACCACCCTGGTTTCTCCTTTTTGTGTTGACCTTGAAGTGCTGTTGGGATTAGCTGTGGCAGTGTAATTCCTTACGCCATCGTTTGTCTGTTGGTTTGATTTGAATGTGTGAGGTGTTGCTTTTGGGATCGAGAAAATATTTTATTCCCTCAGCAGCAGATGTGTTTGCAGAAGCTACAGCAGCATACTGTTGCTGTTTCTATTGTTATATGAAGTTAACTTAGAAAAAGTGGCCTTAGCATAGTTCTAGAGAATTCTGTTATGGTTGGAAGGAGTGTTAATGGTTTTTCAGATTGAAGCACTGCTGATGCAAGTGCTGTTCTGCTAAAAGTAAACTGTGAAATGATTTCCTGTCTGCTGAGAGTAGGAGACGGGTACACAGGAAAACATGAGACGAGAAGAAAGCCCGTGTGCTTTCTTAGCAGTGGCTTAGGTGCAGTATTAGGTGCTTTCCTCTTTTTTAAAAGAGCTTCCACAAGGTGGCAATCTGAATATGTGAAATGCAGCGGATTAAAGTATAATTTGTTTGTAACCAAGTGGATGTCCCAAGGAACAGAGTAAATTTTTTTTTTTTTTTT